TTTGTTTAGCTAGAAACATTTGCCGAAAAAACCGATGCCGGTAGCGACAAAAACTGCGGAAAACTAAAACGCATCTTCGCAAGGGCAGCCCGTGCGTTGGCCAATTATTTCCCGCGAGAAGCCTTGAATGAAACGAAGATTTTGCATAGCAGGGCCGCGTGAAACGCCAATCTTCAAAATTATTTTGAAGAGAGGTTGTCCATGATTTTAAACTCTCAAATCTGTTACATCCATGCACGAAACATAGGCGTTTATGAAAATCTGTTTTACGTTTTTATTGTCGCACAAAATAAGACAATATTCTCTCGAAATTTCTGCTGTCTGCCTACGAGAAAAACTGACGACAAAAGATTTAATTTAAAAGATTTGTTGTATTTTAAACATGTGGTGCGTTCGTGTGCGGGACAAGCAAGTAAGCAACGCATTTTAAGCTTAAAAGCTTACTCATGAAAGCAAACAACCATGCAGAAGTGCAACTTTCTACTTAGTCTGGTTGCAGAGTTAAAACGGCAACAGAACTGTACAAAATTAAAAATTCACTTATGCACAGCACGAAATCTAGACGTTCTCAAAAATTACGTTTAAGATTTCCAGGTCGCACATTAATACAAGAAAAACTCAAAAAAAATTCATTTTCTCAAAATTGGTTTTTTGTTTTACTTTCGACGTGCTCTTAAATGTGGCGCAGGCGCATTTCGAAAATAAATCTTGGTAGGGGAATGTGGACGATAAATACCAGAAATACCATTTACTTCTGTACTTATCGTCAAGTGAGGATTTGTATAATTGAATTTATTTTTGGACCATCCATGCTATTCAGGGAGCTGTCACCGATTATATATTTAATTGTGAAAGCTGGAAAAAAAATATTTCCGGCAGAGTCCCAAGCTGTCGCGGTGAAGGCGAAAAAGGCCATACTCTTGGCGCATGCGTGCGTGGTAGGGCCACTTGAAATCTTTAGGTTGCTTATGAACAAAAAACATCTTTGGAAAGCTCCAGCTTTCTGTGATAACTGGTTCCCAAAGTCATTTTTCGCCGGAATTTTTTCATGTTTTATTTTATGCCTCTGCGCGTGAAACTTGGGCCTCCGCAACCGTTAATTTTAGAAGGGGAGGAACGCATAAAGGGTGAGAATATACCTGAAAAATTTTGGCTTCTCAGCTTCTCTGTTTGCGAAGTTAAAAACAGGTGAAACAATTCGTACGCGCGCACACACTTACAGACATGCATAGACACCCATGCACACATACACACAGACAATCTCTTAACAATATGCGTTTTTGCATAAAATTGCAAAAAAAAAAAAAAAACGTGCTTTTTGTCCAAATAACGGCGGTGCCAAAATGGTTTCAGAATAGAAACAGCTCGATCAGCGCCAATAGCAATCTGCAGCGCTGGTGGCCATAACGTTCCGGCCAAGCGTAACCAAACGTATGCCCTCATGACACAGGATATCGGAGTCTACAATTATTCGTTACAAACTTATAATTCACAGTAGGTGCGTATTCTAAAGGCTGCAACGCAATTTTTCAAAAACATTTATTCGATGTTTGCAGATCTTACGAAAAATCAACAATTAGGAGGATTATTATGTCATTCCCAATGATTATTCTCTCATTCCTCCTCTTCGCCCGACAAAATTTGCTGGAATTACTCATTTTTTCGATCCAAATTTGTTACAAATACTTTTTTTGTTTTTAAAGATTGTCAAATTTACTAGAATCGCTCGAACTGTAGTTGTGAAGGCTATGTCTTGCTGAAGTGCATTCACATGCTAAGTTCAGGTAGACTAAGTTTTCCTGCTCTAAGCTACAAGTTCCTTTTTAGCAATCGCTGTATTTGCTACTTTACGCACGACCTTTTAAAGCCTATTAGCCCGGTACGTCAGACGTGAAAATTAGTTGTGCGTAATAGTGAACATTTACGCTTATACATTTTCGGTATCTCCAGTCTTCTAGTCCCATCCTGTCTTTCCTCCTTCCTGCCTGGATACTCTCCGTTTTCAACTTTATTTTACAACTTATCCAATCTTTTCATTCTCGCCCCTTCAAAAATTTTCAGGAATTCTCTTCATTTCACCCGCTGCTCTTCTTAACACATAACAAATTGGCGGAAATCCTAGTAAACAATCACGTATCGAAATTGGCTTCATATTTTCGAAGCCATGCATGAATTAGAGCCATTAAGCCGAAATGATGGCTTACTAACTTTCCAGGTTCCAGAACTGAATTACTACGCAAAGGCGGTAAAAGACACAAACACAGCTGTTCATGCCGCCATGCACCTTTAATTTGTGAAAAAACGGTAAAAATATACTTGTGGAATTACGTATCCATTTTCAACAGCTTCTTTGAATAATGATCGCATACTTAATCCAAGCAATGCTATCCCCAGACAGTTGAACAAATCGCCAACTGCCAAGCATATGAATAACTAAAATTCTTATTTTTTTCAACAGGAAAAAAACTTTTTGAAAACCTAAAAGTTTCGTCATTGCTGTAATCAACGTTTGCTCGGCGGCCGTAATCTGATATTTCATCAGGGAATTGAAAACTGCTCAGCTTGCTGCAACAGGCTTTAAGTAGCTTCACAGTGCCGGAAACAATCCGAACATGGAATCCAGTGCTAACTTTGGTAATTCAGCTGTATCGACTCCATATCACTCATTTGTTTAAGACAGCAAACGTTGCTGTGCACAGAGTTGCTACACTCCCTTTACTAGATTATATTTTTTGCTTGACTTTAATGTTTTTTATACTTTTAGTTTGCAACTAATTCTGCCTTACCTAGTAACCCAACGCGTGCGGCAAGAGTTTGTTAGCTAAGAATGCCAGTTAGCTGTGCTTCACTTCGTTTCTGGAACGCTGCATGATCCGAGGGAAACAGATTTTATTTCACATCAGGAATCATAATTTGTGCTAATGCCTTTATGCTTTTTTGCACTGCCACAGTGAGCGAAAACCCACATGATCGAAAGGGTTGCAGTGTCTATGCGTATGTGTGTGTGTGTGTGTGTGTGTGTGTGTGTGTGTGTAGGCCTGAGTGCATGGGTAAATGGGCCTTGCTGCCCACTTTCAACTCAGCAACCATGAAAGCTGGGGGGATGAAAATTTACGAGCTGTCCTCAGCATACTTGTCTTCCCTACAGCTTGAAATCGCGCCCGTATGTTTGGGTTTCAAGCTACAAAGCTAAAATTTCATACTGATGATTTCCGCTCAAGCGTGAACTAAAGATTTTAAATTCATCTATCAATTATGCTTACAATGCGAATACTCTCACATCAAAGTTTGCTGTTGGTATCGCTCCAGCTCAAAAATTAGCCGAAAAACAGTAGCTGAAAATTTATCAGGAATCAGGATTCCTGATAAATTTTCAGCCACTGTTTTTCGACTAATTTTTGAGCTGGCACGGTACCAACAGTGAACTTTGACATGAGAGTATTCGCATTGTAAACATACTTGATAGCGCCCATATGGAAAATCGTGTATCCAAATCGAGTTTCGATTTACCTTTATTGCCATTATTTAGCACACCTCAAGGATGTTTGTAGCGAATTGGCTATTTCACTTACCGGACAAGCTGCGAAATTGAAATTTTGCAGAGATATTCTATTCTCATGTGTGGTCTTAATTCAGTTTTAAGGCTAAACTCCTTTTACGCGGGCATGACAAATGCTCAATTTTATTGCAAGCTCAAAAGCGAGTGTATTTTGCGGATTTCGTAATCCTTCTCTTTCGACATCCTGTGCATTTTTATTTTGCATTCTTCAGTGAACAATCACTCACCAGAAAAAAGGTCCAGATTCATACAGAATTGAAAGTCAAGCATGCTAGAGGTTCTTGCCGTCCCATTATGCAAAACTATCATGCCAGTCGGCGTCCTTTTCCTCCTGTACACAGGTAGAGACCAGGACACAACTAACATGACTCAACATGGCAAACCATTAAGCAGGAAACATTCCTACTGTTAGTGATTTGACTACTGCGTGTATACCGCAAAAACGCACGATTGCACTGGCAGGCCTGGTATGCTGCAGCTTGGATTTGCATCTATGTAGTGCGAAAACGCATACTGCCAAAGAAACGTCTCTATTGCTGTGTGTATGTGTGTGCCTGTACATATTTTCATCTCGGGCCTACAAAAGCTGCCATAGCTATGGCAGCTTAGTCTACACCTATATGCTAGTCCATAAGTGCAAAATGAACACTCGTGCGGGCACGTGGAAGATTTTTTGGCGGTAAGACGGGGTCGGGAGTCAGGCAGTCTGGAAGGCTGAGATTGCTCCTTGCCCACGTTCTATTCAAAAGATTCAAATTTGACCTTTGCGCAACCCTGGACCTCACATACTTGCATGTCAGGGATTAAATTAGCATCACATCAACTTGACAATTGGGCTGAATAGAAAGCTGCAGAGATCTATAATTTTACAACATTGTTTGCTGCCCACAGCGAAAGTACCTGTGAAAGTAAACTGAGCTTTCCAGCCCCTCTGCATCTTTCGTAGAAGCACGTGAAATTTCATACGACAGTTTTGTAATTTCGGAACCGAAGCAGCTAGAATACTAAAAAGTGTATGAGCGTGGACAACAGCCGTGTTCCGGCAGGTGGGCGTGAAATCTACTTTTATGTTACTTTCATGTCTTGCATCTCACGTACGAGCATATGAAATTTGATGCAAATTCGCAACCGAAGCACCTGGAGCACTAAAATATTCTTAGCATGACCCGCGACTGTGTTTGGGCAGCCACACGTCAAAGCAACATTCATGCCTCTTTCATATGCGAACACATGAAATTTGATTCAGCCCTGCAACCGAACATCTAAATGATGGATTTCTTTGATTATGGTCACGATCGTGTTTATTGCGAACAATCTTCTGACAGTCATGGTGTCCATCTTCAATTTTTTTTAGCTAGAAGCATTTCAAGGAAAAACAGTGCTGTTGGCGTTAAAAACCTGCAGGGGAACGGTGCAAAAGAAGGATCTCATACTGACAGACGGTGCGCTGTTAAATAAGTTTTAAACTAGTAAATCAGCCGTCACTCATCAGCGTCCTAATTTGACGGACTTCCGCTTGCCGATTAAAACGACATTTGGAGACTCACTCGGCAAATAGTAAATCCTTGTAAAATCATACTCCTGAGTCAGTGATAATTGTTATTAACGAAACGAAAATTGAATGAACTTTTGAATGAATCCTACAAACTTTTTTAAAAATAACTGCTGCGGAAACACTGCTGAAAATTGAATGAGCCCTGCAGGCTTTTTTATAAGTGAATGCTACAGAAACACAGCTGACACTGTTTTTGTGTAGGAAACAAACTTAATCTGTTCATAAATATAAATTTTAAGAAAAAAAAGACTGTCCGTGATTGAAAAGTTCAGCACTGTTCATCTCAGCGGTCGTTCGTATGCGCAGCTGTTTTTTCTTACAGCTCAACTTGCTCGATCCTCGTGAAATTTTTTTTCAAACCATTAAAGCTCAGTTGATGGGAAAAGCTATAAAAAAAAAACAAAGTTTTTTTTGGTAACCTTTATGTCTGTGTACCTTGTAACGGGACCAAAACACAGAGAAGCTGCAAAATACAGTAATCAGGAGCATATTAATAACGACGCCAATGCCGCCAATTAGCAATGTAATCGCCTGCCAGAACATCAACTTTCGAAATTGCGCGTATTCCTCCTCCTCCAGGGCAGAATCGTCCGAAATATTCATTCGTCCAAATGTCAAAAGATACCTGGATGAGATGTAGTTCATCCAGTGCTTTATATAGCACATTTAGTAAAAAACTGAGCAGGTGATTTTTAAAAGAATCTTGTGTTAATTCTCTGATTCTGGCATTTCACTCATCCAATTTTTTAGTGTTTTTACAACTTTATGCAAACGCGAAAATAGATATTGTCAATAGATTGTTGATGTGTGTATGCGCTCGAATTTTTGCCACTCACATTCAACTCATCGGCATATAGGAAGCTAAAATTTCACAGGGTATTTCCTAGTTCATTCAAAGATCTTAAAATACTCCCTCCTGGGTCCATGTACAGAAGCCTAAAAGAAATCATGGAGATGTTTTGGTGGAGAAACGATTTCGGGAACCAGAGACGATGGGAAAGACGAAATTTCACAAGAATTACCAAATCCTTGCGTAAAAATTTGACTTTAACGCTTGTCTACTTCACGTACACGGAAACAGCAAAATTAAGATCTCGTCATCGATGGCAAAATGTCAATTCATGCACAAACTGACTAGAGTTCTTTCACTTCATGAGAAAATTCGTTTTCCATACGAGGCACGCAAGCGTAAAATGAGTTTAGCGCTTCTATTGCACAAACAAATACGTCAGACATATGTATGTAACGAAAAGCGATTTAGCCAATCACTCAAGTTAGGAAATTGAAACCTTGCGAAGATATTTTTTGCCGATTTGCGGCCCAAATATT